TATATATATTTTCAGTTTTTAAATATTTTTAAATGTAATTTCAATTTTAAATTGATTTCACAAACTTAAAGCAATATTGTATCGCATATTGAGTATTGCATTATCTAACAAGGCAGAAACTGTGTGTCATGATCTCTAGCTGGAATGTCCGTGAGCTTTGCTAGAGGGCACTCCATCCCAGACTTCTACCACTCCATCAAAGACTTCATTTCCCATAATCCTTTGCCCGGACTCATCAACACTCACTGTTTGCACCTGTGTCTCATTTACCCTGTCTGCTCACCCTACATAAGTCTGGTTTAGTTTGTCATTCTTTGCGGAGTCTTGTAAATGTTATACTGCATCTCTTAGCGGTTCTCCTGTTTATATGTATCTTGGTTTATCGACCCTTTGCCTGTGTTCTCTGCCTTTTTGTTTACTCAGACTGATTGCCTGTGTGTTGACCCTTGTCTGCTGTCTGATTTTGATTCTGGACTTTCCTAATAAACACTGCATTTGGATCCTCACTCAGTCTCTGAGCAGTTCCGTAACACTGTGTATGTCCCCTTTAAAACAAATAAAAATGTACACGTGTTTGCACTGTTACATTGTTAAAGAGTAATCCAATCTGTTTAAAAATAAATCACAATTAGTGTATTGCGTATAATCCTCACATTGCCTAAATCTTTCAAATTCAGATTTTTGACAAAATTAATCCTGCATTACGAGCATATCAAATAATTAAATCAGACACATACTAGAAACAATATACTGCTGCTGATGTTTAGTCTGCATTATGTATTATATGGTAGTGTAGTATTAAATAGTGATATTTTGAACCATTATCCTTTATCAAACAACAATGCAATCAAACATTCTCACTTTTTGGCTTGTAGAAGGAAAACACTTTTTCTCTGAAAATCTCTTTAGAATTCAAGTAGGTGACATCAACATCATATTTTTACTCGTTTGATAGTTATTTTCCAGGTATGCAATGTTTCTTGTATATTTTATGGATGGGGAAAAAAAGTTTATCCAAGTAGAAATTGTTTTGCTAAAGTACAACTGTACAGCAGAAACATATTTATCTCGATCATACTGTAACACTTTGAGGGTGCGGTTTCATAAAAATAATAAAAAGTTCAAAGTGCAGAGTTTCCTGTGTCACATACACAGCAGTACAAACGCAGTGAAATAAGACTCTCTCCTCCCTTCAAAGATTGTGTAGTTTTAGTCCTAAGAAATACATTTTCTCAAGTATAAGATGTATGGATGAAAATAGATGTTCTTTTTAAAGCACTGTGTATTATATGCTGTATTTACAGTATGTGTGAGTCTTCTACTGATTGGGCTGCGGAGGCTGCAACACTGGCTATCTACAAAACAAACTACAAATGAAGGATGACACAGAATAATCACACCAGGGTGAGCTTACATACATTTTATGTGTGGAGATTCATAGCACGCATTGTGTTCAACACTCTGCAGTACAGTACCTGTGTGGAATCACATAGGTACTAATCAAACTATTCAAATGAATTTTAAAGCCTCACACACACGCACACATATAAACTGTATTATCCTTGACTAGCATAGGTTATTTGCTCTTGTTTGCTCTGTATCCTTATGTTATTTTCCGTGAAGCTGGTTCTTTCAGATTTTTGGTTTGTTTATGCAGTCACGCAATGATGTAACATACAGAAACACTTTTTTTTTTACACATAAACCATGAGAAACCATAAAAACTTTAATTTGGTCCTTCAATCAAGTGCTCGGTTCATGCATGCACATATCAGCGGCTCATCAGTCTTCGGTCCGAGTTGAACTGTTTCCTCAGTTCAGGGACTGTTGGAGGAACTGGAGCTCTGAATGAGTTCGTTCATCACAGGAGCAGATGCGGCAGTATTTTGGCTCATTTCCAGTCAGAGTGACTGTTGGATGTCTGAAAGTGAGTTTTGATTGAGTAACGTGCTGCTTGAGCCGCAAACTGTTTCAGACGGTTCAGTCCGACTTGGTCAACTGATTCTTTCACTAAAAAGAATCGCTTCAAAATAATGATTTGTTCATGAACCGGACATCACTCCGGACCGTTTTCCTGAAGCTCTGTATTACAGTTAATAATGTTGTAAATAATGTTCAGTCTCTTGCACAGATGATTGTTTCACTTCATAAGATCAATATATCATCAGGAGCCATGGGTATTCATTGTGTGTTGCCTGATCTACTTTCTATTATTATTATTATTATTATTATTATTCTCAAAACCGGTAGTTGCTGACTTTCATGAATCACCAAGGAGCACGGTTTCAGCTAAAAATCTTCTTTAATGTTATACTCAAGAAAAAAGTCACTGTATTTTTATAAATAAATGTAATTAATTTAAATTGTCATATTAGAAAGTGCTAAAATAATTGATAAATGTTTGTTGCAATATGATCTGTTGCCTCACACAACTTTTCCTGCATCCTTGAGAGCTTAATTTAGGATAAATTTGCAACCCTGTTAATTTATGGTTTTCCTTATCCTATTTTTAAAACCCTGTAAGTACAGTATTCATCAAACAGACTCCAATCATCTGTGCATATCTTCTGTCAAAACTGGAAGCGGGAATATGTTTTTATACCTCCTTCTCACTGTACACATCCAAATGATGTTTTGATTCAGAAACATGCAATACAACATGCAATGCTGTAGTAATTTATTAATGTAGAAAGCAAAGATAAAGAATAATAGGAGTGTTTAAGGTGTAAATACCTTCATAAGTAAAATGAAAAAGAGGTGCAATATTAGTATTGCTCAGAAAACAGTAGTTTCAGGGGATCAGTGGACTGTGGTGTAACATCATCTTGTTCCACTTAATCTGGCAATGAAATCAGAAAAAATACAAAATAATCATTAAGGCTGCATACACATATTACATATATACACATTCAAATGTCTACACACCACGTCTCTCTCCGTTTATCTCTCACCTGAATATACCTCAACTTCACACAGTGTGAGGTATTCTTTGCGTCCAGGCACAATAAGGTTGACGTATCGTCCCTTAACATGCTTAAACTCAAATGTTTTTGTGTTTCCAAGTGGGATGGGCCCAACAGTTGCAGCCCTGTGAAGACACACAGAAACAGAGAAAAAGAGAGGGGCATTTCAGATATGCTTCTGTCAAAGGCAAGTTTGTATTAAAATTATTAATTCAAAGTAATTTCATCTTATTTACTCATTTTCTAACAATTTATGTAAGCATTAAGAGAGAGACAGCACTTACAGCTCATTATTGTTGCCGTTGTTCTCCAGGCTGTTGCCGATACGGATCTGAATACCCTCGATCCTCTTTTCACAACAGTCTCCACGATTAGTGATGCTAACCCTGGTTACCCTGTAGACGTCTGACAAGTCAACTCTCCACCAGGGGTTCATGTCCCCGTTAGTCACGCTGCATGAGCCGAGTGCGTAAACGGACTCCCTGTTGCCATCGACAGCATTTTGAGCAGCTGCTAAATCACTGTATGTGGAAGACTGAACAGCTGTGCCTCCAAGAGCAAGATTCCCTGTTTAACATAATGACAGACAATAACTTAACTTGAATTTAAAACAGTTTCATCTCAAATCGATATGCCCATGTAATTATGTGTTTGGTGAAAAGCCATGTAATAAGTGATATTCGTATACATATAAGTGGTCGCTCGTCTTGCTAGGAGCTATTGTTCTTCACACAAGCTTTGCGTTTATTACAAGTGAGCTAATACAATATTTCAACTCAAATCAATATTTTGTGTCCAAAATTATTTATGTAATTAGCCGGGGATATTTTGTGATAACAACTCTCTGGATGTACATTATCCCTTATTGGTTAGCAAATGCTCAATAAGAATATTATATGTGACCCATGCTGGCAAAATGAGTGTGAATGCGCACGGTCTAATATTGAGCATATCATAAAGTAGTAGAATAAAAGTAGTGAAAAAATGTCAGTTTTGGTCGAATTTGAGGTTTTCACAAAAATGAGTTCATTAAGCCCTCTTCTAGTGATCCCAATGCTTCAGATAGTAATTAGACATCTAAAATGATCTTTATTTGTATGTTTTCTGAGGGAAGTACCTTTTTCTCTGCTCACTTCTGGACGACTGCTGCTGCTTCTCACCACAAGTTGTAGGATATATCGTTGCAAAGCGCAGCATTAATTATTATTAAGAAAAGAATTGGAGGAAAATAAGCAAGGTTGCTCTCTGATTTTGCTTTGGAACCTTTAGAAAACTTTAACTTGATTTCTCTCAAAACTGACTTTGCTGACTCTATCGCATTTAAACGGCTGTAGCCCAGTCATTTTTTTTTGTCAGATTCCAAAAGGTTATATATCATTTTGAAGGTATTTTAATGTAGAATGTGAAAATGAAGAGAACTCATTTTTGAAAATGTGCTCATTCCGACTAGTAAAAAAATGTTGACATATTGGCCGTTAACAGGCTCAAACTCAAACACTACTGTGCCATTAGGAACAGTGAGAACAGTAGCAGCCCTGAAAATACATAAAGAACAGTGTTAAAATGGAAACCAGAAGCCTCTGAACACAATGTACATGCCTAAAAAAAATCAATTAAACTGTACTTAAATCAAACGACTATTCATAAATGATTGTTCATGATTTATATCAGTATTTGATAGTGACAGTGAATAAAAAATATATTGTTGTACATGGACTCAAGTCACTTACTTGGAACAAATTATAAAATATTCAAAGGTTTTGTAAAATAAATAGTGTAATATAAATTACAGAAAAATTACTGTAATACTGTAATAGTAAAATACTGTAAAACTAAGTAACAGTGAGGATACAGTACTGTAAAATTAAGTTGTGGTGAGTTTTTTTTTACTGTAAAATGAAATTGTGGTAAGATCAGTATACTGTAAAATTAAATTGCAGTGAGGGCATTATACTGTAAAATTAAATTGTGATAAGGGCATTATACTCTAAAATGGAATTGCGGTAAGATACTGTAAAGGGGCAGTTGCAGTAACTTACTGGCAATAGTGGTGCCAGTAAGTTGCAACAAAATTACAAGTAAAAGTATTAACAGTGTGGAAGGAACCACTGACGATGGTTTGAAATAGTGAGTAGCCTACAGAATATAAAGCAATACAAACAAGGGTAAAATCTACTGATTACATGTTGAGTAATAGCACTTAAAAATGTTAAAAATGCATTACAAATGAGAAAAAACAATACAGCATCTGTGCTTCTGAGTGGCAGAAAGAAAAATGTGGTGCTGGCACGAAAGATACTTCCTATTGAACTACATTCGATCGAATGTCACGCTGAGTTACACAAAAAAAGGGAAATCCATGTCCATGGACAAGAAATAATATATTAAATTTCAAGCCTATGTCACAAACTGCCGTGGTTGTATATTTATTGACCACTTGGTTCTTCCTTATTTAATGAGGAAGAAACACAACCCAGAAGTACACAAATAAATGAATACTGTTTACACTGAGAACACACACTTTTTACAGTGGCATTAATCATTTATCAATATCTTTTTTTATGATACTGAAGTACATTATTACATTTATCAGTAAATATACTGTTGAACAGTACATGAATACAACTCAAATCCTAGAGTGGTTTGTTTAGGGATTTTCAGTTTACTTGCATTGTACATTATGATCTGACAGTGTAAGACAGTGCTCACCAAACTTCTTGAGCCCAAGATCCCTGACCACAGGCCTGATGAAACACAAGATCTGTACCTATAAGAGTTGGGAGAAAAAAACAGCTCAGATTGTACCTCCAACTTGAGGCATTTTATTTAGGCTAATTATATTTGAATTACATGAAATGCTTTGGTCCCACTTTCAGATTAATGCAACTAAGAACACTAACACTTGCAGCGAGCAGATCGTATGAAGTGCCTTTGTTAATGGCACTAGAAACTTGGCAAACAACCAGGGTCCTGAGATGCAAAACATGTAGCATAATGAAAGCAAGACCAAACAAATACATTTACCCAAACAGAGAAATGATAAATCCCTGTTACATTGCGTACACTTTGATTACGAGATGTTCACACATAAAGTGTCTGATTACAGGATTTCAAAACAACAAAGCATGGCACTTGAAATCATATGTGTTCTGTTCACTATGGACAAGGTATACAGGAACTGATGAAATGTCTAACTTGATGCACTTTGGATAAAAGTATCTGGAAAATGTGTAAATGTAACTACAATAATCTTATCTGATTCTGATTTTGATATGAGAACCACTGCCAGTGAATCAGTTTTACTCAACCAGAAATCAGTGCAAGCATTCCTACATGTGCTTCAGTAAGTCTTCCTGTGTTGAAAAAGGATTTATGTATTTGTGTATATGAAAATTGAGTTTTATCAATCACGCTCTTTCAGAGGATGATACATATTCTTAGTTTAACATTTTAACTAACTGTCACGCTGAGTTACACAAAAAAAGGGAAATCCATGTCCATGGACAAGAAATAATATATTAAATTTCAAGCCTATGTCACAAACTGCCGTGGTTGTATATTTATTGACCACTTGGTTCTTCCTTATTTAATGAGGAAGAAACACAACCCAGAAGTACACAAATAAATGAATACTGTTTACACTGAGAACACACACTTTTTACAGTGGCATTAATCATTTATCAATATCTTTTTTTATGATACTGAAGTACATTATTACATTTATCAGTAAATATACTGTTGAACAGTACATGAATACAACTCAAATCCTAGAGTGGTTTGTTTAGGGATTTTCAGTTTACTTGCATTGTACATTATGATCTGACAGTGTAAGACAGTGCTCACCAAACTTCTTGAGCCCAAGATCCCTGACCACAGGCCTGATGAAACACAAGATCTGTACCTATAAGAGTTGGGAGAAAAAAACAGCTCAGATTGTACCTCCAACTTGAGGCATTTTATTTAGGCTAATTATATTTGAATTACATGAAATACTTTGGTCCCACTTTCAGATTAATGCAACTAAGAACACTAACACTTGCAGCGAGCAGATCGTATGAAGTGCCTTTGTTAATGGCACTAGAAACTTGGCAAACAACCAGGGTCCTGAGATGCAAAACATGTAGCATAATGAAAGCAAGACCAAACAAATACATTTACCCAAACAGAGAAATGATAAATCCCTGTTACATTGCGTACACTTTGATTACGAGATGTTCACACATAAAGTGTCTGATTACAGGATTTCAAAACAACAAAGCATGGCACTTGAAATCATATGTGTTCTGTTCACTATGGACAAGGTATACAGGAACTGATGAAATGTCTAACTTGATGCACTTTGGATAAAAGTATCTGGAAAATGTGTAAATGTAACTACAATAATCTTATCTGATTCTGATTTTGATATGAGAACCACTGCCAGTGAATCAGTTTTACTCAACCAGAAATCAGTGCAAGCATTCCTACATGTGCTTCAGTAAGTCTTCCTGTGTTGAAAAAGGATTTATGTATTTGTGTATATGAAAATTGAGTTTTA